AATCGTGGGGTACAGTCATCAAACTTGAAAATCTTGTGATATTATTGAATAGGTTTTTTACAGGTGTTTCCTGCCCACGTCAAGTTGAATCGATATGTTGAACAAGGAAAATATCTTCAGCAAGTGCAATAGATGTTTAGGCTATAACTAGAGGCTTAACTGTACGAGCAGACTTTAAATGGAATGACTTGGCATTTTAAAAATAAACGAAGTTTCGCGAAATTTAAATTGCTGATTAACTTATGTAAATAGTCCCTTTCATTCAGTCATGAAATTGTTTTATGTGTATCTTAGATAAGATAAGATTATGATAACGTACTAACAAGCTATTCAGTTTCTTGACTTACAGCTTGGGATGGCTAATATAATTTCGATAGTGTGGAAAGGATTGTTAAATATATAAATGATTGTATACTGCATAGTATGCATTTATATTTAACAGGTCTTTGAATCATCTGATTGAAAATAACTTCTAAATTAATTTTGTATCGGGAATAAAGAGAGCATTTATAAAATTTTCCCAACGATAATTCAATATATTTAAAATTAGAATCGGCAGATCGGTCAACAGTCCAACGGGTCACTACACCACCTATTTCAAAGATGGACTTAGAAGAATAGCCTTTGTACACAATATTAAGGAAACTAAAAGAGTTCTAGCTTTTGCAAAGAACTAGGAGAACAAATTATATACCGATAATTTATAACTTTTAAATATATGAATTTATGTATGTATCTGCTTATGAACGTAAAAAATATAAACTCTCGACTATGAAAAATGTTTCAGTGTCATTTGAACTTTTTATAAAAAACAACGGGGAAAACTATATGTAATTTTATATTGAAAATTCAGAATAATATTAATATAACGTCCGCATTGATTTTTGATAAAATAAATATTCGTTTATAATTTTTGTACAATATACGACATTAAAATTTCAGAAGAGTCATTTTAAATATTAAAATATTTATTAATTTTGTTCCACCAAGTCTAGCAGACCACTGCGATCGAACTCGGGTAGCCATTTTATAATAATATCTTGAAGCCTCTTGTTGCTGTACATAGATCTTCTGAAGTTTCGACCACGTTCATCGTCCACCATGAGCCCATTGAAGTCGGCATCCTTCGTTTCTTCGTTGAGCATTATGGCCTGGCAGGTCAGACATGCGGTGACAGCTATGAAGGAAAATATAAATATAGCTTCCATCCAACAATGGAATCAACTATGATCTCACCCATGAATTTTCCCTTTTCGAGCTGCAACACCAACTGCCTGAGCGTGGGTGTATAGCCGCCAAACTTCAGTTCCCGCAGGGTATCCACCAGCACCTTGTGATAGTATTGGATCAGGGCGCTCAAGTGGTTGTTGCGCACCTCAGGCCGGAGTGAGGTGTAGAAGAAGTAAAAGAGATCCACGACAGGCGGAGCCCAGGCTGAGAACTGAAAGTCAATCAGAAGCAAGTCCAGCTGGCTGTGAACAGTCTTTTTTCTCAGCATTATATTGTTTGTCCACAAATCGCCGTGAGTTAGGGTGTTGAACTCGTTTTCTTGTGGGTCGTAGACTTTCTCCGTATATTCCATCACATGCTTCTGCAGGGCTCTCAGCTTGTCCTCGTATACCTTGCCCAGCTCTGGACACTGCCCGGCAAAGTCTGCGGCCATGCCCAACAGGCTCTCAAACATGGGCGAGAATCCTCGGGTGTGACGATTGAAAATGCCGTGATCCAGTTTGGTGAGCAGTCCGGGCTGGCGCTCATTAAGCACTGAAGAGCAGGCGTGCATCTTGGCCAGCTTTCGGAGCACCAGCTTTGTGTGTTCCAAGTCGAAGCCGGTCAAGCGGTCGCCCAGCACGTAGTTCAGTACAGCGAGGTCCTCGAAGATGATGGCCGAATGCTCGTAGTCCACGTGAATCGTCTTGGCAAACAGCTTCTCCGACTGCGAGGTGCCCTCCAGGAGGAGGGTTAGCTGTGGGAGGATCTTGTCGTACATGACCATTTCCGTGTAGCTCGCTTGGTAGCTGGCGAAGATGTTGGATATGAACGGATCGTTCTCATAGGTGGTCTTCACAATGAAGAACTCCGTTTCGCTTTGCGTGCTTCCGCCTGGGATGTAGGTGACTTTGATCCTGGTCATTATGCTGGCATAATTGTCGCCTTTGGCCGTCGCTGGCTTAATATTTAGGTCTCTGATGCTCAGCCCCCCGTCCTGCTTATGGTGCCGGAGAATAGTTTCCACATAGGACTCGGTCAGCCACTGTGGGGCAGGATGGAAGCTGTCCCCATCTTGGCTGCCGTTGCTGTTGCCGCTCTTTATTTCAACCATGTTAGTATGGGTTTCGCAACGAGTCTGAGGCTCGCATTCATTCCGAAAGCTATGTGTATATAATCTTGCATTATAGCAGTCGTAAAGCTGACTGATCTAGACAATTGTCCTATCTATTTGTGGCTGCCATATGCGATTGCATAAGATTAGAATATGTACATCTATTAATTTCAATCTGAATTTCGCACAGTCATGAGAACACAAATAAGAGTTCTATTTACATAGCAGACACAGAATTGGATAGTTGTATAGAGCATTAGGTGTATTGTAGAAAGTATAAAATAAGCGTGCGCTCCATAAAATATTCAGATTTGCGACTGCTTTATCTGCAGTGTAGTTCATAAAGTATATAAACTGTATATATGTATGTATATGAGAGCTACTTTACACAAAAAGGGTAGGTCATATGTAGCTGATAGTTTCACTGCTCAGCTTTGCTTATTTCGGAAATAAGAGCAGCACATGTCCAGCACACATTCCATTCGCATCGCGTATACTCTTGAAATTTAGAATATATATTCGCGCTGACAACACAAGAATAAATCTTTATAATGGGCACATCTACGCACATTGGGCGTGACAAATCAGAAACTAGTATATGTATATGTATATATTTATTCTTAATAACAYTTATATATACATCTAATCTTAATCATGAAAGAGCTCAGTCTGTCTGTGCTTCTGAGTATCTGTACATCCGTATTTATCCAACAATATTGTCGAATACTTAAGCTCGAAATATGAAAAGCATGTTCATGTATTCCATACGCAGTAAGAAATGATTGGGTTTTTAAAATTCGTTATTATCGATAAAAATCGATACTTTTATTTCGATTTTTAAGCATATTTTAATTCTAGAATTCAACAAGGTGCAAAAATACATATATTCTGCACACTTGATTTATACAAATCGTTTTTGAAATAGCAGAGGCTTGTGCGTTGGCAATCATACCCATCTCCATGTCAATATCACGCTCTCAAATTAAGTCTGCAAATTCGATTTTGAGGCAAGTTGCTTGAATAAAGGAACCTAGAATGATTGAAATAAAAGCAGGGTTCAGGGTATCTCCAAGTCGAGTAACCCAACTACCGTACTTTGACTTGTTTATTCTAGACTAATACTCTTTTATAAATAACAACAATTGTATTTACATCTCATCGAGCAGTCCTTTATGATCAAGCATAGGCAAGATTTCTCTGAGTTTCTTTCGGTATAGCTCGTTTTTATAGACAGCAACTCGCACAGCCGCATCGGCCTCAGAAGGCGACAGCGCTTTTTCAATGGAAAACTCCTCAGGCCCATTGTGCAGCATGGCCGCCAGGAAAACCAACGAGCAGAAAACACCTATACAATAGAAATATATACTTATATAAAAGTTTTAATTTATGTCATGAGCTAATTACCATAAAAGGCACGCGCTTGAAATTGCAGCTGAAACTCAAATAGGCTGGGCACTTGGCCCTTATATTTCAGTTTAGTTAGTGCCTCCACAAGCTTCTCGTAATAGAACTGGACTAGCTCGGCCTGATGATTCCTATGGAGATCGTTCTGCACCGAGGTGCAGAAGAAGTAGTGCAGGTCGATAGCCGGCGAGCTCCAAACGCTAAACTGAAAGTCTATGAAGATCATATTGTCCGGCGTGCCGTCGTTCAGATAATTGAACATGATATTCGTAGTCCATAGATCGCCGTGGCAGAGAGTTGCAAAGTCCCCCTTGCTTAACTCCATCGTCCGCTCGCCGTATTCCATGATGTGATCGATGACTCCGTTCAGCTTAGCTGCGTAGCGCTGATGTAGCGCCTTGTCATCCTCGATGGATGTTATTAGGGCTCTCAGCATATTCTGCATAATGGGCTTGTAAGCCTGAGTGTGTTTGTTGAAGAAGCAGCGATCGTATTTCTGGCCGTAGATCCCTGGCTGCCGCTCGTTGAGCACCGCTCCGGCGGCATGAAATTTCGCCAGTTTTTCCAGCACCAGCTGAGCGTGATTCCGATCCAATTGCTTCAAGCGATCCGCGACACAGTATTTCTCCAAGGACATGTCCTCGAACATAATCGAGTCGTGCTCCCGATCCACATACACTGTGCGAGCAAACATTTTCCGACTATCCCCCAGCTCCAGCTGAATGATCTTCGCCAGCTTGGGCAGCTCCTCCTCGTACATGTCCATTTCTCGAACGTATACGCCATATTGTTCCAGCAAGTGAGAAGCCGGATCCTTGTCGGCGAACGTGGTCTTAACTATAAAGTTGTCTGTATGCTGGCACATATCCTTGTCCGTGTACTCTACGATGATCCTCGTCATGACGCTCGCATAGTTCTCCCCATTGGCCGTGGCCGGCTGTATGTGCAGCTTCTTCAGCTGCAGTTTCGACTCTTTCAGATAGTTTCGTAGCCTCTGCTGGACATATTCGCGGGTGAGCCAGTCCGGAGCAGCCAGTACCTTCAAGTTTGCGTCGGAGCCTTGCTTGGGCATGATGACCAAGCTGTATCTACGGATATCAAACGCTTCTGAGCTGCCTATGTGGAGTTCGTTGCCTTTTATACGACGCTGGGTGCCAAGAGAAAACTGCTGGACTATGTATACATATAAAAATATATCTAGCTAGACTTTACAGCTCTGATTGTCGCTGACGACTGCACTCCTCATCGTCGTGCCTTAATTCAGACTGTCGGAGGTAGTATACTAATGCCTTATCATAGGCGAACGTCTGGATTTTATACTAATACTCAAACAAGATTATTCATTGTTTGTTCAATCTTCGCGATCTCGGTAGATACTTTTACTCGCCTACAGTGCAGTCTAATATTCACATCAGTTTCTCAGAGATGTCAGATCAATGACATTACCATTAATGAATCTGAATACGAACGAGTGCTGATATTCTAATCATTCTACACGTGTTGTATGCACATATTCACATGCACGCATAACCACGCGCTCTGCTAACTGCGCTTGTGCAAGTGTGGGCAATATTATGAGAATTTTTTAGTTGAATAATTTCTCTTGTAGACGGACTATATTTATGAAACTTTCAGCACGTAATCATAATGTTCAAATGTATGTATATTCTGAAGCACAAATTGTGGGCGAAGACGCCGTGGTATCCAAAATCTGTAAATTACAAAATTTTCGCATTCAACAAATTAAAAAGGTGTTGAATTAGGCTGAATAAAAAAAGAAATTATCGATTATTATCGATAAAAAATATATTGGAAGAGTTATCAAAAAATATGATAAAATATGATGGTATACACGAGTATACATTCCGAATTTCCCTCTACCTAATATATCTTCTGAGTTCATACGGACGGACGGACGGACGGAGCTATATCGACTTAGCTCGTCGCCCTAATCAAGAATAAATATACTTGATAGGGTCTGCGATGATTCCTTCTGCCTGTTATATAATTGTCACTAAACCATTATACTCTGATTTCCCATTTTCAATGGGATCCGGGTATAAAAACATATATGTACATGCAAATGCAGCCGCATATAATAAGTTAGGTTAGAGTCCTCATTATATTCATATGATTATCCTTTATGAACTTTGCAGGATAGTGAAATTATATATTGTAGTTCTGATGAATTTTGATGGATTTCAGATTTTAGTGATTTTTTTTTTTTTTTTGCTATTTTTATTTGCAATACATAAATTAAGCAAAGTATTTACAATAAGTAACATTTCCCGGATGGTTTGAACCCCAATGAAATCAATCCATATACATACTTATTTTCATATTAATAACAAAGTTTACTCTCTAAGCAATAAATCAAGTACGTGACTTTTGTTTTATTTTTTTTGTAATTTTTTTTTTTTTTTTTTTTTTGGAATTTGTTTATTTATTTAAATTAATACGCAGAGTACTTAACCGACTGGAAGAACTATTTTGGGTTTTCTAATAATAGTAAGACTCATTATTATTTTTCGATCAGTCAGTAGAATTCGTTTATATTTATTAAACAAATGTTTTCTCTGAGGGAAGTCCAATTTGCACATTATTAATATTTTTATATAGCATCGATTAAGTACCTTTTAATCGGGCATGGGCCTTTCAGAATAATCTGAATAATCTGCGACTTCAAGATCTCGTTAAATCAATCAGGCTTCTGTGGATTTGCCGCTAATCATGATTGGCTTGGAATGGAAAGTCATACAAATTGTCAATTCTGCGATTCTGTTGAAGTAGGGTTTTATGAGAATAACCCTATTCTCTACATGTCGTAATAAGTGGTTCATGGTCGTTTTGAAGAGCTAATGTGAGCCTATGATTAATCTATAAAGTTTCAAGCCCCACCTCTATATTAACAATACTTATCTTTGGATTCTTATTCTAAGATCTGAGAGCCTGCTATATAACCACGTGGACTCACTCAGCCAATTACTCTGTGCCATCATTTTATCTAACACCTTCCCTGAGTGCGGTGTATAAGTATGTGCTGTGCTTATGTACGGTAGATATATGATATTTGTTTTACAGCTCGAGCCGTCTGACGTGAGGCAGATAAATATTATCTTAATCTTATATGTGATTTAAGTTTAGTCCACACCATAAAGGACTCTAATACCCTGACCTCGACCTTTTTAAGGTATGTTTGGGTCTACACATTGTCATTTCATAGATTGTAGCTACAATGTATTGCATACTTATTTAATAATATTTTAAGTTTCACTTAGGTGCACAATTGAATAAAATTCTTATTGTAAGTATTGTGAAGGAATTATTATAACTTAATGGGTAATATTTTCAATCGAAGCATAGAACGCTAACGCGAATACCTAAGAGATTACGGCCAGGTTACAGTATTGTTATACCCTGAACCCTATACCCTGAAATGTATCAGGCAGAAGGAGGCGTGGCAGACCCCACAAAGTATATATATTCTTGATCAGGGTGACGAGCTGAGTTGATTTGGCCCTGTCCGTCTGTCCGTCCGT